CTCTTGATCAAGAGACAGCGTCTGGTTTTCTCTCTGGGTAGTCTGCATGTTCTCTCCATGCATGTGTGGGTTTTCTCAGTGTCCTCCCATGTCCTCCCACAGACCAAAAACATGACTGTTAGGTTAATTGGTAACTCTAAATTGTCCCTAGGTGTGAGTGAGAGAGTGAATGTTTGTTTGTCTCTATGTGTCCCTGCGATGGACTGGTGACCAGTCCAGGGTGTCCCCCGCCCCTCACATGGTGACCACTGGATGTGGGCACCAGTGACCCTGAAAGGAAGAAGCGGGTGTAGATAATGGCTGGGTGTCTGTGGTGTCCTGCTGGAGTGTGACGTGATTTGTGTCATGTGCAGGCGCGATGGATTGGTGTCAAAACAGTATATATATACCTCTCATCCAATCACAGTTAAATTTACTCTATGGGAGGAGTAATTTATCGTGATATGTTTTTGTAATAAGCCAGAATAAAACAGGAGTAATGGTTTCTTGCCTTTTTTTTTAAATAAATAAAAGTAAAAAGTACAGATAATTGTGTGAAAATGTAAGGAGTATACGTAAAAAGTCAGCTGAAAAATAATTACTCAAGTAAAATATAGAAACCCACAATTTCTACTTAAGTACAGTAATAAAGTTTTGTACTGTCACTTTACAACTCTGAATAAAGCCAGTTAAATGTCATCGCATGAGGATTAAAGACTGGACGGTGTCAGTTTTTTCTCTAAATAATGAATGAATCGTTTACTGGGTTGGGATGTGTTTGGCTTGGCCCACAGAGCAGAGGAAACTAGTAAACAACATCAGAAGGTGGGTTGTTGATCCTATTGCATAACAGCTGTGGGGATGGAGGAGTGCCATCTTCATCTTCATCATCCTCATCATCACTGAATCCCTCGATCAGAGGTGAGCCTCCATCAGACCTGGCCCTTCCTGGACCTGACACTGCACACCCTGAAGCCTCGGTCCTGGAAGGATCCATCAGGACCAGCAGAGGACGGATGGAGAGTCTGGGAGGATACCCCACCCGAGGACTGAGCGCGCACGTGCACGCGCAGCTACACGACGTGGTTTCAGTCAGAAACTCACGTTACGATGAAAACGGAAATAAAAAACATAAATAAACGGAACAAAATAATTGTTGAAAATGTTCGTGTCCTCCCGCAGAGCCTCGGTGAATAAGCGGCGGTGAGGACGCTTTCTGTCAGCTAACTAGGGTCAGAACGAGCGGGTTAGCTGCTTATCTACTCACCCATGTTAGCAGGATGTCGCTCCGGAAAACTAAACGGGGTGTGCGGGGTGTCTATGTCCGTGAAGCCGAGTGGTAACCAGCCCGAGGCCCCGCTGCCGCTGCCGCTGCYGCTGCTGCTGCTGCCTCCTCCGGTCCGTGAAGTTAGCGCCTGGAGCTAGCTTACCCAGCCGGCTTTTCTAAGAGCCCGGTCCGCTCGGACAGCCCCGTTCTGACACACCGGGAAGTACCAGGTTACCGAACCCGAATCCCTCTCATGTCCGCACCGACAGTCAAACCGGCCGACCGCAGTTCCCTGAAAAAAAAAGTGTCTGTGACACGCTACGCTTCAGTCAGGTCAGGAGACAACATCCGCTCACAACTTACAAAATAAAAGACTTTAAAGAAAAGGAGTTGTTTTAAGACACAACCACCAGGGGGCAGTAGAGCTCCATGTGAGAAGAAGAAAACTGCTTCATTGATGTTGGACAGTTTTATTATAGCTTGAAAGGCGCATGATAATGTTTTTGCTTTAGTCTCTTTGCACGTTTGTGTGTCTGTTTGTCAGCAAAATATCTCACAGACCAGAGGACTGATTTTAATGAACCTATCATCAGATGTGCATCAACAATTTGGACTTAATTCAYTTCAAGATGGCTGCCGCAGCTACTGAATGTCAAAAACACAAAAATGGCTGTATGTAAATTATAGAGATGCTGACCTTAAATTTGGTGTGGTAGCTGAGACTGATYCCCAATACATAATCTGAGAGCCAACACATTTGTGTTTAAAATTTTTGTCATGAAGTCTTTGGGGTAATAATAAAATATCTCATGAACCACTGGTGTGGATTTTGATCAAATCTCCACAAAGCAATGTGCCTTAATGACTCAGTACATTTTGGCATCAAATGTTTGTTTTAATTTTGTTAGCAAAATGTTTAATTAACCGCAGGACAGATTTAAATGAGTTTTTCAGAAAATTTTCTACATGATTAATTTTTGTCATTAGTCTAATTCAAAAGGGCTGCCTCAGTTAGGCCCTAATCCAGTTTTATTGTTGTATATATATTGTTCATTTRGAAAAAAAGGACAACTGTTTCTCTAACTCATAACATGATTTGTAAGACAATAAAATTAAGATAATATGTATAAGATAAATAAGATGAAGTAAATGAAAACCACATAAAACGTAAGACACTTTATTAAACCGAATTATCTCATATAGCAGGAGATGGATCATCAGATTGGGGTCTGATCCTCAGTAATGAGGGCGTTGATTTGGTCAGTCGTGGTGAAGGAGGAGCTGAGTTGAAAGTTAAAGCTCTGGATTTACTGGTCAGTCTACGTTTCAACCCTCACCTGTGGTCAGAGCAGCAGGGTAACATAATGAACACACAATTATTCTCTTGTTTAATCTGCTTTTTGGTTGATGTATTTGACTTTTATTTAAAAAGGCAGATTTCAAACAGACAGGTCAGTTTCTGTTAAGAAACTGCAGAGTGAATACAAAACGAATACTAATAAAAAGCAGCCAAACAAAGGCTAAAAAGAATGAAACAGCTAGAAACTAAATGCAAGAAAATGCTAACTAAAAACTAAAAGTATTAAAGTTTAGTTAAAATTATCAAAACGACATGTACAAGTATTAAAACACTTGCAAATAAAAAAAATAGCTCAAAGCTACAAGTAACAAAAGCTAGCTACAGTTTCCTACATGTCACCCCCTTTTGTTTGTTTGATGTTTACGTGTATAATTAGCCTAAAAAATCTGTAATTGTTTGACTGTTGGCCGCAGAAATTACAGCAACTAAAGCAGGAAGATGGGAAAACTTATTTATATAGCAACAGAGCGAGTTGCAGATGGTTATTTGATATAATTTAATGTTTGTTTGTTTTTTTTACTTACTACAGCCTCAGACATGTTAAATAAATTTGAAAGTGAGCTTTTGAAAAAATCTGTAAGATTACTCTAAACATGCAAAAATGAGGGAAAATCCATGTAAATTACGACAACTGGACTTGACATGTAATAATTTCAAAGTTTCAAAGATTACCTAAAAGCTAAAAATAGCAAAAGGCTTGGTAAAYGAACCAAAACACTAGCAATATGTAGCAACAAGCTACAAGCAACCAAAGTTTTCTACAATTTCTAAGTAGCAAAAGACTTATTAACAGGAGCAAGTCACACAAGCAGCCGAAGCTAGTTAAAAGTTAAAAGTAACAAAGGCTAGCTCAAAGCAAAACTGAACTGGAAACTCATGTTGTTGTGATGGAACAACAGTTAAACTGATGAAAAAGTAGCAGGATGTTTACACATGACACCATAAACTCCACCCATCTCATAATTCATGTGTCTCTTTCCTGTCTGATAACAGCTGATGACCACCTGGCCTGAGCCTGGTTCTGCTGGAGGTTTCTTCCTGTTAAGAGTTTTTCCTCTCCACTGTCACCAGTGTGCTGCTCAGGATGGGAGACTTTCATGAAGTGATTCAACACAATCTGCTGGCTTTTTTTTACATTGATTGTTGTTTTTTTTTTTGTTTTGTTTTGTTTTGATTTTTTTTGTTTTTGTTTTTTGTGCAGTGCCCTAAGGCGAAATTTGTTGACTTGGTGATATATTAAAAATAATATTTAAAGCCAGCTAAAAGCTACATGTAGCAAACGATTAAACAAAGAAGCAAAACGGTGGCTAAAAGCTAATTGTAGCAAAAGATTAAACAAAGAAGCTAAACAGTGGCTAAAAGCTAAATGTAACAGAAGGCTATTTTTTGCAACAGTGATTCTTTATTCCCTAACTTGAGGATCATGTGATGTATTACGGAAGCKTAGAGCTGCCACATGACATGGAATTATATTTAAACTGGATCTCGTTATAACAAGTAAACTATCTTGTTATATCAAGATAACCATGTCGTTATAACATGTTATGATTTCTTCTGGTTTGTCATTTTCATGGAAGTTTATTGCCTGGATGGTGTGATGGAGAACACAACTGAACCACTACATAAACAAAAACAAACAGAATTATTTGGGTTTGTACTCAGATGTTGCAGCTAGTAGCACTTAATAATATTCACTCTCTGATCTGAATTCAGACGGTATTATTTCAAAAACATTATTCAGTACTAACTTGTCATTTGTTTAGTCTAGAAATGTGTTCCTCTTGCAGATTTCTTCTTCATAAAAAGTCATATAGTGAGACTCAGTCGTGTTCTCCATCACACCATCCAGGCAATAAACTTCAGTGAAAATGACAAACCAACATGTTATAACGAGATGGTTGTCTTGATATAACAATTCAATTCAATTCAATTCAATTCAAAAATAATTTATTGATCCCAGAGGGAAATAAGGTAGTTCTTGTTTTTACAAGATAGTTTTCTCATTATAAGGAGATCCAGTTTAAAATAATCTCATGTCATGTGGCAGCTCTACGCTTCCATAATGTATGTCTCTGTTAAATGTTAATTATTATTCAGACCCCACCCCACTCTCCTCCTGTCACAGTCTTCCTGTTCAAGCTTCCTCCCTTCAGATAGGTGGAGGTGTGAGAGGGGGAGGGGCTTGTGAGGAGGAGGAGGAGGASGGGGAAGAGAATCCCACCCCCACACCCCCCATCCATCAGAGCAACCCTTCATCATCATCCTCCTCCTCCTCCTCCGTTTAGTCTGCTGCTCACATCTCGCCAGCAGGAGTGTTTGTGGTTGTGTAGAAGTCTGCTCCGGTAAATCTGCGGTTCGTTTCTTCTTTGTTGTGAGCGAACAGAGAGGACCAGCAGGGAGACATGATGAGCCACAAGGAGCGACGGAGCGTCAATTTTAAAGCCTTACTGAGGAAGAACTGGCTCCTCATCGCCACCGTGGTGTCGGTGCTGCTCGGTATGTAGAGGCTGAAACCTTCAGCTGATCCGGTCTCCAGCTGCCTCCATCCTGTCCTCATGTCTCATCCTGTCCTCATGTCTCTATCCTGACCTCATGTCTCATCCTGTCCTCATGTCTCATCCTGTCCTCATGTCTCATCCTGTCCTCATGTCTCATCCTGTAAACAGGTCTCCATCCTGTCCTCATGTCTCATCCTGTAACCAGGTCTCCATCCTGTCCTCATGTCTCATCCTGTAACCAGGTCTCCATCCTGTCCTCATGTCTCATCCTGTAACCAGGTCTCCATCCTGTCCTCATGTCTCATCCTGTAACCAGGTCTCCATCCTGTCCTCATGTCTCATCCTGTAACCAGGTCTCCATCCTGTCCTCATGTCTCATCCTGTAACCAGGTCTCCATCCTGTCCTCATGTCTCATCCTGTAACCAGGTCTCCATCCTGTCCTCATGTCTCATCCTGTCCTCATG